AAAGAATCAAATGCAGAAACATATGGAGGAAACCCAATGCCCAACCAGAACAAGTGCAGAGGACACTAGCTCAGTTCAAATGTATGAATTAATAGCATCGATAGTAAATAAGCAACAGCATAAAGTCATAGAGGAACTCAGAGTGGAATTCTTTTCTACTAGCTCAGCTCAAATGTACGAATTAATAGTGTCAATAGTAAATAAGCAACAGCAGAAAGTTATAGAGGAACTCAGAGCGGAATTGTTTTCTGAAATAAAGAATTCTCAACTCATGCATCTCATCCACCTATTCTCACAAAAACCTCTCGCCAAAATTCAATAATACTAAGGACTTTTTAAAAAAAACTTTCTGGGCATGGTGGTGCATGCCTGTAATCCTAGCACTCCAGAGGCTGAGGCAGAAGGACTGCTGCGTGTTCGAGGCCAGGCTGGGCCACAGATGAGCTCAAGCCTAGCCTAAACTGTACATGAAGATCCTGTCTCAAGAAACAAAGACACTTAATGGGCCTGGACGTGCACAGCCAGCGGTGGAGTTTGTGCTTAGTAGGAATGGGGCCCTGGAGTCAACTCTAAGAACATTAAAAAACACTGATAAAACCAGGTGTCATCATACACCTGCAATCCCAGCACTCGGGAAGGCTCAAGACAGGATGAGCACAAATTCAAACCCAGTCCAAGTAATTGAATAAGACCATCTCAAAAAAATAAGTTTTCTAAAGGCTTGGGGTCAATGCAAAGGCCTTGGTTTCAATCCTCAGCACCACCACTAATAATAATAAAAAAATAAAACTAATGATTCTTTTAGGAATGCTAAAGCACTTGAAAATCTTAAAAAAGTCAGCTGTTTAAATATTTAAAATAATCCACTTTCAGCGCAGGGGCTCGGGTTTGATCCCCAGGCCTACCATGCAGCCGGCCCTGCTCCCATGGTGTGCCAAGAGGCAATTAAGACTGGGTGTGGTGGCGCTGTACTCCCAGCCCGTGGGAGGCTATAAAGAGCAGATGACTACGAGTCCAGTCTAGTTGTGAGACCCTGAGCACCCTATAAATCCTTCCATAAAATACAAAAAATATAAATAAATAAAAATCCAATTTCAATGAAACTTGACATTTCAAAAAACAGACAATAGGACCTGGGAGATGGCTCAGTGGAATAAGAGCTTCCCTGGCAAGCACAAGGGTCTGAGTTTAATCCCCAGTTCCACCAAAAAATAGGCAATATGTGGCCAGACAGCTCAGTGAACTAACAGCACCTGCTTAGGCAGAGTGCAGCAGCTAGGGGTTCAATCCCCAGTGTGCCGGGCTGGCCCTGCCCCCAGGGTACACTGAGATGGATTGAGACTGGGTGTGGTGGCACATGCCTATAATCCCAGCACTTTGGAGGCTGAAAACAGGAATATCACTGAGTCCCATCTGTGCAGTGAGACCCTATAGACCCTGAACTAAATTTTAAAAAAAGGGAATATAAATTGTTTCACAAGAATTTTTACCCATTTGCCTTTACAAAGATCTATTTTACTATGCATTCCTTACAAAAACACATGCACAACTCTGCTAGAGGTCTTCCCTCTTCGGTATTCACATCATCCACCTTTGGAAGTATCTGACCTACTCCACTCTTTTCAGTGTTTTCTTCTTCAAATGGTAACTTGCCTAGCTACCAGATTTCATTTAGCAATGACACTATGCAACTCAGATAGTTCTCCAACATCAGTTATCAAAAGGGACTGGGATGACATAAAAAGAATGTGTTACCTGCAGATACCAACTCCCTACAATAAATACAATCATTACATACTGCAAATATGTACTAGTAAAAATTAAAAATCTTTTTAAGGGGCTGGTGAGATGGCTCAGTGGTCTAAAGCACCTACTTAGAACAAGCTTAGCAAAGCACAGGGACCGCGGTTCATTCCCCCAGGACCACATGCCAGCCAGCCCCGCCCCCTGGTGGGCTGAGCTGGACACACACACACACACACACACACACACACACACAAATAAATAAATAAATAAATAAAATTTTTTAAAAAATCATCTTTTTAAAAAGCAGTACCAAGGCCAGCAAGATAGCTCAGCGGACTAAGCACCTGCTTAGACAAGCACAGGGACCAGGGTTCAATCCCCTGCACCATATACAGTGCCAGCCCTGCCCCCGGGCACACTAAATTGGCACCAAGTCTAGGCATCACAGTGGCACATGCCTGTAATCCCAGCACTTTGTAGGCTGAAGACAGGAGGATCACTATGAGACCAAGCTAATGTATAGTGAGACCCTGTACCAAATACATTTAAAAAAAAAGTAACAATTGCCAGGAGTGGGCCCACACCTGTAATCTCAGCTCTTGAGAGGCTGACAGGAAGATTGCTACGAGTTCCAGTCCAGCCTACACTGTGAGCTCAAAGAAAGTTTTTTGACCAAGTGTGGTTTTAGGAAGGGCTAGGTAAGTGACAACTTTATAAAACTGCGGTTTTAGAAATAAACATTTCACTGTTATAAATTTTGTTTTGGGAAAGAAATACTTAGTAGAAATTATCATAAGCCAGTTTACAGGGTTATTACTGTTTCCAGTCCTAGCAGCAGTTCTCTGATCAAATTAAGTTCCTAGAGATATACACTTTTTTTTAAAAAAAAGTGCTGAGAACCTACTCCATGCTAGACAAGTATAATATAGTAAGTACTGAAAATACAGAAGTAAACAGATTTAAGTTCTTACTTGCAAGAGACATTATTAAAATGGGGAAGAGAGAATAACTGAGTAACTTAACTTAAATAATTAATGGGATACATGACTGGGAGAAATGGAACATCCAAAGTTCTATACTAAGGCCTACAGAGCCTTACATGATCATACTTTTAAATATAGTAAGAAGACATCATGAAGTTTTAAACAAGAATTGTTTGACTCAATTTCTATTTGTGGGTAGAGGCAATACCTGAGCAGCCTAAGTGCCTGCCTGGCAAGCACAAGGACCTGAGTTCAAACCCCGGAACCTCAATGACTAAATACATTAATAAATAGAAGGCTTCTTAATTTAAAAAATGCTTTTATTTGTACTCTGTATAAAAACTAAGCACTTTTATATTACCCTCCTCATAACCAAGTCCTGTATGCTGGCCCTGAACTCACTGCGCAGCCTACGCTGGCTTTGTACCCACAGCAGTGCCCCTCCTCCTCCAAGCGCTGGGAGAACAGGCGTGCACACCGCTCCGAGCTCTACACTGTACTCCGAGCTCTACACTGTCACACGCTCTGTACTCTCTGGAAAGCCAAAATGAAGACTAGCAACTGACACTTCTTCTCAAACAGAAGTCACCTTTGTTTTCTATATACTACTACTTTTCTTTGCAATCCCATTACATTTATGCTAAATTTTTACGATGCTAGTAATTTTTAAAGTTGCTTTCTTTGAAGATTAATTCTCTTTAGAGTGCAAATTCTCTGTCAAGTTACTCTGTTACAAAAAGAAAATTTTGTACTTACAGCCACAACAGCTTCAGCAACCCCAGTCAACACGGCTGGCCTAAGGGAATGCAGGAGAATTTTATTCTCAAGTAAAACTAAAAGCAGCAACGTTGCACAATTCTCAGGACCCAGATTCATCAGTAAGGTGCTAAAGTTGGCTCCACTAGGCAAAAAGAGAAAGGGTTATGAACTCCTTTGCTGAAAGTTACATTTTATTAGATCTTATTTTCTCAAAGTTAACAGACTCAACAAAAAATAAAAAATAAAGAATCTAGTATTAAATTTCAAATCTGACAGTAATGAATCAAAAACAAAAAGTAGCAAATTTAGTGTAATAATATAACGTGGTGACTTCAATTTATGCTAAAAATGGTAACTAAGTATCATTAATTGGTAACAAAAGAACATTTATCAGGAAAGGTTTTCTGGAGGCACAATCATTTAAGCTGCTTAAAACAATGAAGGTAGGGGCTGGGGAGACAGCTTCGCAGTCTAAGCACTAGGACCCAGGTTCGATCCCTGGTACTGCATCCTGTGCCTGCCCCAGAACCTGATGGCACACGCCTGTAATCCCAGCACTGGGAAGGCTGAGACAGGAGGATCACTTACAAGTCTGAACCACATAGCGAGACCCTATACTAAACAGTAATAAAAAAAGAATGAAGGTAGGGATGGGATGAAGGTATGAGATAATATACAGGAGTGTCATAATCAAGGAACTGCACAGTAAGGGAAGAAAGTAACATGAGGTCAGGCCGACACTGAAATAAATCATATTTTCATCCTTAAATGGATTTACACTGGCTGCACTGTGGATAAAGAACCACACAAAGACAAAAGGGTCAATCAAAAGGTGGAAACTGAGCTGGGGTTGGTGGTACATCCCTATAACTCTAGCTACCCAAGAGGACTGAAAGCAGCTTGACTGAGTAACTTAAGGAGACCCTGTCTCAAAATAAAAGCTAGAAAAGGACTGGAGATATACTCAGTGGTACAGCATGAGACCTTGAGTTCAAACACTAGTGCCACAGAAGAAAAAAAAAAAAAAAAAAAACAGGTTAATAATGAAGTAGTCCAGCTAAGTACTTATGCTAGCCTGGACTAGAGAGACACAAGAAGAAAAGCAAATACACTCAAGATATTTAGGTTAAAATGAGTAAACTCTGAACATTTACTTAGAAATGAGATATAGAAAAGAGATCACAGGAAAAGAATGCCCTGTACCCAATCTAGCAATTTTCTTACCATTTTAAAAATGGTACCACAATTCATCCAATTATCAAAAACAGAAACCCAGTTTTATAGAAATAAGACTTGGCTTTGTTACCCTAGTCCCTAACATATTTTAAAGCATTCTGCTCCAAGTGAGTAAGTACAGTTTTTTTTTCTTTCAGTGTTAATACAGTATTTTTAAAACCATTACCTGGGTCAGGGGTGTACGGCTCTTGCCTAGCATGCTCGAGGCCCTGGGTTCCATGCCCAACACAATAAATAAATACCATGAATTACCTTAGTGGTAAAGGTGTGGAAACTGGCTGCGACAGTACAAGCGAGTCGTGGACTGAGAGCTTTAAAAAAACACACATTCACTGAATTAACTTTGAAATCTGAATATTTAGATTAAGGGTAAATAGAAAAGTTCAATATACAAACTCTTTGAAACATACTAAAATGTGAAATAATTATATTCCTTCAGAGATATCATATTAATTCATTTAATTAAACTCAATTTTGCAGTTTTGATTCAGTTAAATGGTTAAAAGGCAGTTAAAATTTTTAGACTGCAATTTTTAATAAAAGTTTCAATTTATTTACTCAGCAGACTGTTAAACACTTAATAGTTGCTTGATATATATTAATACTTGATGAACTGAACTGCATTCAAGATCGGTAATATCTGGCTTAATCCTACATATATAAGGTTGATAATCTTTTAGGAAAAATACTAAATAGCTTGCCTATACCGACCAGCATAACTCAAGCTGCCAATATACTGTTGTGATCTCAATGAAAACAAAAATAATCTGGCAGCTTTTATGACAATCTGATCTCAGTCCTACATCTAAGCAAGCAATTCACCCAGTTACCTGTGGACCAAGTCAGGCCTGTTCACATTTACAATATCTCACCCACTAAGTTGTGTAGGTCACAAGTTGGACACTGATCTAGCTTTGCCACTTATTAGAACAAAAAAAGTAAGTTATTTAGCATACACAGTGTGAAAATTACTTGTTGCTGTTTTACTTCCCCGCTGCAACCACCACTCATTGCATTTATTAGTCATTCATTCTATACTGAGAACAGGGCCATAATGTAATTCTGGGTTTTATGTGATTGAAATAAACTAAAGGTCAGGCATGGACCAACAATAACAATATCATGAACAAAAACTACAATTACTCCAATTCTGTGCATCCAACATCCAAAAGCCCCTAAGAAAGTTTAGGAAAGGGCTGGGGAGATAGCTCAGTAGAATAAGCGCTTCCCTGGCAAGCACAAGGCCCTGAGTTCAATCCCTGGTTCTACCAGGAGGAAAAAAAAAAAAAAAAAAGTTCAGGAAAGCCATGAAATAAAGCAAGTTCAAGAACTTCATGAACTGCTCATTTTATCACAGGGGCCTGGGGTTCCCTCTGCACTGACCAGATTGGCTCGAGCAGCTCCCCCACAACATACCACTTCTCCATTACCTGGACGAGAATCCTTGGTCTTTGTGGCGAAGGAAAAGGGATGTTTTGCATGAAATATGAAATGTGCCTATAAAACATTAAAAATTAATGACCATAATTATTCTCACAAAATGTTTCATATACACCACTATAATATTACCCCAGATAGCAAAAACACCAATTTCCAGGATGGGATGTTGCCCTATAGCAGGGTGCTGACACAGAACACTCAAGGCCTTGGGGTCCATCCCCAGCTCCCCCAGGGGAAGGGGGTCGGGGGGGAGAAGAAAGGAGAAGAGGAGAGAGGAAGGAAAAGGAAGGAAGAGGTAGAATGGAAAGGAAGGGAAGGGGAAGGGAGGAAAAGAGGAGGGGAGGGGAACGGAAGAGATTCAGGAGGCAGGAGAGGAATAAGAATCTCAATGTAAATACACACTAAATATAAAATGTATTTTCTAATTCAAAGTCTATATTACCATTTCCTATTATCAATAGAAAAAAAATATAGTTCTCAAAAAGAAGTTATTTTTTTCCCATGCAGTAGACTGAACCCAGCCAACATCTCACAGTCAGCTCTTTTTAAAACTTTTTTAAATCTAGAGTCTCACTAAGTCACTAAGATGCCCAAACATCTTGGTGCTTGGGCTCCATCCCCTGCCTCAGTCTCCCAAACTGTCAGGGTTACACATGTGCACCACCATGCCTGGTTAAGAAGCTAATTTTTACAGACCTGGTTATCAGAGAGAAACTCTGATATAACAAATTAACAATGCAAAATTCTTCTTATTTTTTCAGTTCTAGGTACTGAATGCAGGGCCTGAGGAATACGATAAAGCATCCCACCACTGACTCCATCCTCTGTCCTTTCACCTTGCCATAGAGCTGGGGATGCAAGAATGGGCCACCTCCCCTGGCAGAAATACAGAATCCTCACACCTGGACAAGCACCTGTTCGTTCTATTTTTCCATCTGGAAATAATGCTTAATTTTTTCCAAAGTCTTGAACTCTTAGGAGCCACTAAAATGAAAGAAATTATCTGAACAGAGAAAAAAAATCATATATACTGATTTTATTTTCACACGCTATCAATTTATTAAATTTTTAAAATTTCCAATTATGTCACCAAGACTGAAATTTACTTCAAATTTTTAAAATTATTTTAACACCTGAAAAGTATGTCAAGAAATATGAACCATTATCATTCCAAGAGTACAACATTAAACCTTTTTTATATACCAATCTTTGGTGGGTTTACAAAAGTTTTGAAACTTTTCACTTTGTTAGCAGTATATGTACATTTTATACTATTTTAAGCAAAGGCCAGGTGTGTGTGGAGCTGCATGCCTGTAATCCCAGCAGCTCTCTGAGAGATTCAAGCAGGAGGATCACCCAAGCTCAGCCAGGGTAACTTTGCAACTTAGCGAGACCTGCCTCAAAATAAAAACTAAAAAGGCTAGGGATATAGCTCAATGCAAAGGCTCTTGGTTCCATCCCCAGCACAGCAAAAGACAAACAAAAGTCAATGTGCTCCCCACCCCCGGGTGAGCTGAGCCAGCCATCAGTAAGGAGGTGTGGTGTTGCATGTCTATAATCCTAGTGCTGGGGAGGCTGAAAACAGGAGGATCACTACAAGGCCAAGCTGCGTAGTGAGACCCTGTACCAAATACATAAATAAATAAAAATTAAAAAGCCAATGTGCCACAGCAATCAGAAAAGACGTTCTAAAAAGACAAAGTGGCTCTGTATTTCTCTTTCTTATAAAAGACATCCAGGACAACAGGAATCACAAATCAAAGGGAAAACATAAATTCTGTCCTGTGCTAAAACCAAACCTTATGCAAAATCTCATGCAACATCAATAATTCACGCTTAACAATTTCTTTACTATTTAGTCATGTGTTACACTCAGAATCCGGACTGGCCACCTGATACAGGGTGTGTGTGTGTGTGTGTGTGTGTGTGTGTGTGTGTGCACCTTCATTACTAGAGAATGAGTAGGAACAGAAACATAAGAACCACAAATTTACACGAGTCACGTCCTCAGCTAAATTCTCAAAAGATTTATATTTAACTGCCCTTACTACCACACTTCAATTTAAGTTCAGTCAATGATTCAAGTGGAGAAAAGAGTAAGTGAAAAGTAGGGTAACCATGATTCTTCCACTTTCAACTGCTGTTAGAAGTTAGAGAAACAACAAAATTGGTAATTCTAAATCCAGTTTTTCCAATGAATATTGCACTAATCATTATACATACTTTTCAATGGGAAGAGGATGTGGTCCAGACACGGAAAGTTTGTAGATAAACATAAGAAATTTTCTAAAAGCTTCAAAAAAAGGCCAGTGTGAGAGTAAGCAAATGCACTTGTTCGAGTTGATAGACTTAGAGACCATTCTCCTCTCTACAGGCGTCAGCAGGCCCAGCTGCATGAGCTGCTTCTCTGTGAGAAGCTCCCGAGAGTACGGCTCATAGAACTGGACAGCAGCTCCATACACCTAGAGAGAGACGGAATTTGGTTAAAAGCTGCTTTTAAAAATTGCCTTCAACCAGCAACAGGGGATGTGAGGGAAAAGGAACCCTTCTCCACTGTTGGTGGGTATGCAGATTGGTACAACCACTGGAAATCAGTGTGGAGAGTCCACAAAAAACTAGGATTAAGAGTCAGGGAGATAGCTCAGTGGGACAAGGGCCTGCCTCGCAAGCACAAGGTCCTGAGTTTGGTTCTGGTACCAAATAAAGACCCAAACACTAGGACTAGAGGTTCCACTTGACCTAGCTATTGCTCTTCTGAGTATCTTCTCAGAAGAACTGAAAACATCATACCACAATGATATATGTGCCCCATGTTTACAGTGACACAGTCTGTAACAGCCAAATCTTGGCAACGACCCAAGTGCCCATGAACTGGTGAGTGGAGAGAAAAGTGGGTGTGGTTTTTTCTGTAATACAATGGAATACTACGTTACCATAGTAATGACAGTGGCTCTGTATTTCTTTCTTATGAAAGATGTCCAGGACAACAGGAATCACAAATCAAACGGAAAATATGAATTCTGCCCTGTGCTAAAATCAAACTTTATGCAACATCTCATGCAACATCAATAATTCACGCTTAACAATTTCTTTACTACTTTAGTCACGTGTTACACTCAGAATCCGGATACATTGAAGAAAAATGATGTATTTTGAGGCCATACTCCTAAGTGAAAAATGGGCATACATGTGTAAATACTGCACTGTTTCTCTGGTGTGAGACACAAGGTGTAAATAAGGGCAAAAATGTATAACAGATATTGGGAAACAGGACCAAAATGCTCCAGTGGGGAAGGGAATAAGGGAGAAAAAAAGGAAAAAGTAAAAAAGAGAAAAAAAGAAAAAAAATGAAACAAAGCTTTTGTACATGAGGAGGCGAAGAACTGTAGCAAGGGTAAGGGAACGGGGAAAAGAAGTCATATCGTGCTCAGGAATAAATTCTCTATGATGACTGTGACTGTTACGTGTATCTAAAATGTACCAACAAGGGCCAGTGAGATAGCTCAGAGGACTAAGCACCTGCTTAGACAAGCACAGGGACTGAGGTCTGATCCCCAGCACCACATACTGTGCCAGCCCGGCCTCTAGGCACGCTGAGCCAGCCACTGAGATCCGAATGGTATGGCACGTCTGTAACCCCAGCCCTGGGGAGGCTGAAACAGGAGGATCACTACAAGTCAGAGCTGCTTAGTGAGACCCTATACCAAACACAGAAAAAAAACAAATAAAATAAAATGTACCAACAAAGTCTGATTTAAAAAATTAAGTTTTCTTTTTTTTTTTTTTTCAGGACCAGGGTTTGAGCTTGGGATCTTGCGCTTGCCAGG